CCAAACTGTGCAATGTTAATGTACAGTACTTCTTCACGGATCATGGACCACGAATCCACATCTATTACTAGACGTGCTCAGATCTCCAATCAGAATCGTTGCATTCCGACATGCCTGATCTGCAACAATATAGACGTAATAATTCAATGGATTTGACTGGGTACCCAAATCATTTCACTTTCCCTAGTGTCTTCTAGTTTTACTGTACTGCAAGGCAATACCTGTCCTTTGCATAAAACTTATCAGGAAATCATCTCTTTAATAGATTTGAGGCCGATAGTCACCTCACTTGAGCAACTTCTCAGTTCTATGCCATGCACCTAGAATTACGCAAATAGCTCCTATCACCACAATGCCACACATTTCAGTTATTGGTCAGTGCATTGAAGAAAAAAAACATTGGGGTAATGGACCTTTGTGAACACCTTGTATTAATACATTGTGAAACCACATTCTCTTGCTTTACCGACGTTGACTTAACCTTGGCTGGCCATACGTATGCAACAATGCGCACCTAATTCCTACCAACGTCTTGATGACATTAATATACACTCAACCTTGTACATTCTCTCTTTGCCGACAATCTACCAATATTGGCCCAATATTAGCTGCTCACATGCACCCTACATCGCATGCCCTCTTTCCGCCAACGTTGGACAAGCGTTACCAGCCCACCACTTTCAGCCAACCGTGTCAACATTCAGGTAATGTATGTAGGTCCAATGTTTCATGCTCTCTGGGATGTCTCTGTGCTGTGTCGTCACTTACAACTAAAGGATGTTTTAAGAAAGGCACTCCATACAGGATATTGAGAATCACTCGATTGAATATAACTTAACCCTTTCGCTCACCTCGTGTCCGATTTGGTATAGGGTCTGATTGTTTTTCGCATATTTCGTACATTCATGTAATTTATGAGGCATTTGTCTTGCTACAGGGGATCCACCCAGATTTTGTCAAGACAATACTGACCATAGCAACCAATCAGTTGCCTAATGACAGCTGATATTCTCATGAAAAAAACCTTGAAGTAAGAAGTCATATTAGGTGACATTTCAAATGCTATTCTGCGAAAAGACCCTAGAAAAACTGGCATAAAATAATTAAATACTGATAGAGGCATCCCTTCCGAGGCAGCAGTATCGATAGGCAATATCTCTTGGATGTCTCTGTGCTGTGTGTGGTTTTGGTAGGTGTGATGGAAACTTCTGGGGGATCTCGTAGTAGGTCCTTAGCTTGAATTTCCCCCTTTGGCGGTAACGCACTGTTATATTAGTAGGGGTAAAACCATCCAAGTTTGGACAGTACTTCATTTCGGCCACAATAACATACTTTGTTGCAAAAGCAAGCATTTGTGAGCTCTTTCTCAGGAACCTTTCTTTGATGCTCGGAAGAGCTGTCTCTGAGGGTGATCTCCCCAAGTAGCTATGTGTGATCCTAAACTTGTTCGCAAACAGTCCAGTTGTCCAGAGATAGTTAAATTCCAGAAGCGGTCATCCTTTGGATATTCAGAGGATGTTATAGCCATGGATCGATATCTTGTCTTTGTCTCTGAGCTTTATCTGCCCAGTTTAAAATCCCGACTGGAATTTTCCAGCTGGATTGAATCTGGTTTTGTTAGCTGGTTCCAGCTGGACTCCAACAGAAAATTCGAACCGATTCCAGCTGGGAGGTAGATCAAAAATCCGGCTGGATCCAGGTTGGTTCCCAACTGGAATTTTCCAGATGGACAGCTAGTTGTGCTTGTCGTTTCCGGGTGGATCCTTGATGGTTCCCAGCTGGATTGAAGCTGGTTTTGTCACCGGTTTCCAGCTGGATCCAAACTGTAAATTCAGACCGATTCCGCCTGAGAAGCAAATGAAAATTCAGACCAAATTCAGCTTTAAAAAGAACAAACATTTCAGAAGAAAAAAAAATTTTCGGTAAAACCCATCAGGGCACTTTTTTTTTTAAGTCCCGTTTTCCTGATTTTTTTTTGATCTAACGAAACAGAGACAGAAAATTTAAAATTCCCTCAGAAGTACCTATTTCATGGCTGAGTACAGGAAAAATCTTACTTTTTAAATATGTCCCCTTAGCGTAGATTATAAGAGTATTTCAAAATGTATTCTCCACCCTTACAAAAAGGGACACATGAAAAGATTTCAAGTTAGGCACACTAGAAATCATAGAAGTAATGATTTTGATTTAAAAAATCAAGACTTTCGTCCCCATATATCACATATTTCAATGGGGACGTACTTTAAATACGTGTTTGCCATTTTGCAAAGAATAAATGAATTAATCACCAGTATATCAGCTAGTATATCATAAGCATGACTAATTCTTTCATTTTTCAATGTAATATTCTCTTTCATTCATGTCTTCTGGGAAAAGAGGTTATGAACTTCTGTAGCAGATGTAATATTTGCATATTTAGGAAAATTTCCGGCAAAAATCCGAGGACCACTTGGCGTGGACAGACCCATATACAGCACTCGACATTACGAACGAAACGATGTGTCAGTCAGTCTTTGGACATCCATTGGACGTTTAACAAATGAACTTCAAAGGGCAACTTTTCACGATCCATCATTGGATGGACGTCCTTGGATGGACGAACATGCACGTTGAGGCCTTCTATCTGAGCTGATATCTAGAAGTTCAGTCAATAAAAATAAAGTTCCCACAATATAAGCGAGGTCACGCAGAACTCGCCACTGTACGTGTCTCGATTCCCTTACGCTTCTAGATGGTTCTGCAGAAGCTTTCATCCTGTATTTGATATTCTCCCACGTACAAGCAGAAGGAATGAAGTTGTTTTAATTAATATATTTGTTGAAAGACATGACCTAGCTCAAGGAGACACCAGCAAATTCTCGCACATTGCATGGAGAGAGTAGGGTTCCCCTTAACTCGGCTAGAGGCAATTAGCTGGATGAAAGTGTAAACTGTCTATCGGCACAACTAAAGGCAGAAAGTTTGAAAGAATGCTATCAGGAATTTATTCATCCATCTTAACTCTTCCATTTTGGGTTGCCACCGGTTCATAATTAGTATGGACAGTTCATATTTCAGATTCAATGTTCATACTACAAACTTGTCTTAATATGGACACTACTTCATCTATGAGCCAGAGTAGCATGTCACACCCTTAAAGCATCAGTTGGTTATTTGGCTAAAGGTAACAGTAGGTATTTGCAGTAGAGTCACAAATGCAAGTATACTTCATATATTAATATTTGTCCATACTTCCATATGTCCACAGACCATATGTCCATATTTTGCTAATTTCAAAGGTGGCAACCCTACTTCCATTCCAGATCTCTCGCGGAACATACTATTCTAGTAATCTATAAATTTTGCAATATACCTTAAGGTAGTAAGATCCCTTTAGGACTACTTTTGACCCCAATGAAGATCGGAGCGAGAACAATACATCGTTGGGAAGTGCAGGGAACGTCTTCCGTTTAAATTATATAATTCTTATATAATTATATAATTAGTATAAATTATGCTAATTAGTTACCAATATGGCCGACGCAGCACCCAAATCCAAGTCATATTTGAGCCAGCATTTCTCACGGATTAATGATTCTGAACTCACGAGACTCGCGCATTGAGCACATAATTATTCAAGTCCTGATGATTTCAGATTTTCGAAGAACATACTTGTGTATATACAAAGAATTCTCAGCCGATTGAGCAAATGTTCGCAATTTTCCTCCTAATTATAAACGCAAAACAGTGAAAAATCAGTGTACTTGGGAAACAGTTCAAAAACGCCACGACCATTCCCTGAAGAGGCATTTTAAGTATCTTAGGCAAAAAAATTACTCATGAAGGTACGAAATCAACGAAGTTATGGCGTCTCAAAGATTACTGTTCATGATGAAAAGCATTTACTGAGAAAACGCGAAGGAAAAGTGAAAGTCAAATGAGCACCTGCTTAGTACAAATAACCCTCAGAATCCTCACATTTGTCACGAAAACCTTTTCTTATCGCTCGCAACACTTTTCATCTTTTTTTTTTTTTACCGGCTCCGATGATTTTTTGACTGAGTGGTACAAACTGCTAAGATCAGTCTTTGACACTCTCCCCTGTAAATCTCCCTTGAGGTACAATCAGTTTCTCAAATAGTCTCAAAGCAGCAATGTTGCCGTCATTGATGTGACTGACAGCCGAGTAGATCGTTTTGTGGCCAGCAAATACTTCTTTATTACACCTCTCCTAAATCAACTTATTCAAACATTCATTTGTGTTTTGTCATGCAGGCATTTCGCGAGTTGCTCTGGTGATGCAAATGAGTCGTAAATAGGGTCTATCAGTTTTAACATTTTTTCGACGTAGTAGTAGTCGATACAGATGGACGTATCCAAGGGCCAAAGTCGTTGCTAAGGAAACGATGTTTTGGATGATCATCACTAATTAACCACTTTAGTAAAAATAGAGAACTTTTTTCTCATATTTTGATCGCACATCGATAGAGCAGTGAAAATACTATAGCCTGAACCAAATTTTTGGAAAAATGGTATTTTTCATGAAAATCGACTTTTAAATGGGCGTGTGCTACCTTAACCTGAGCACTGCTCGTAGTGCAGAAATATCCAACATCCAAAGGATTAAGAGTGTTAAGTGCCATGTTCTCTGTGCAAGGGAATTCAAATGAAACGTGGAAAGCAAGAAAGGGTTTAACGCTTCAGTCCGAGAAATATAGGATTTTACAAATCAAAGACATTTCCTGTCTGATGACATTCAGAACCTTCTTTTTCTCCTGCAATTTTTTCACCTCTAATAGAACCAAGGCGTAATTGCCTTTGAATAATTTGTTTCTCCCGTGACAATGGCAGAAAGGGATGAGGGTCGGGGCTCATAATTATACAATATATGCGTTGCCGAGCCCGGAATCGTTAGTGAGGAGAGGTGTTCTCAGTCTGTCTGTCTTTCACATCCTTCACTGTCTGCGGATACCGAAGGAGGAAAGCATGGAGTAGAGGACTCTATTGATTTAAGGTGGACACCCGGTGGCACGCTGACTCCATGCGCCGCTCAGCGCTATGCAAATTAACGTTAGCTAAGGCCTCGAATGCTAGTTGGACGTTGTTTACGTTTCCCCAACTTTATAGGCCTACCGACCTTTGATGAGCATGAGCGTATCATACGTTGTCATATAGCCCATGATTACATCAAATACGCCTGTTGTAGGCTTATAAGTCTGTGATCTCGCAGTCGCAAGAGAAAGGGAGTGCAGTTTCCGTCCCTTGCTTATAGAGCGTCAGGTCGAACGCTATCCCATCGGCCATGGATGAGGAAGAAAACGACGTTCTCATTCCTGGTGAGTGAAACTTGTTCGAATATTTCTAATCCAATGGGGGAATACTTTCATTGATTCAGGCCCTTGCATATAGACTGAGGCCTAAATCAGAGGTATTGGACATAAGCATGGATCTGATCCTCTTTGTTCCTTTCAGAGACTGGTGCAGTGTTTACTTTTGGTAGAAGTCGGTTCGCTGAAAACATTCCCAGCAAGTTCTGGATCCGAAATGACTCAGTTTCACATGTTGTCTGTGGAGATGAACACACTGCTGTCATTGCAGGTAGACTAGCTTGACTTTGTAGAGCTCTCTAAGCCCCTTGAATAAAAAAAGTCAAGTTACCTCATAATTTGGACTATGTTGGTCTTTAGAGTGTTTCACATTTTGCATGTCACGTATCCCTTGTGTCAATGCTTTGGAAGGTAGGCAGACACATGTGTGCATACATAGCCACTTACATTGAAGGTTTTCACAAAATGCATGGCTTGTGTTTTCAATTGAACTCATCACATTCCCACACACAAGCCTTGCATTTTGTGAGACCTCTTACATGTAAGTGAACATGTCTGTGCATGTGTATGTCTGCCTACCTGTCCAAGCATTTACACAAAATATGAAACACTCTTTAGGCCATGTACCATCATGTTACCTAAATGTGCATTTACAAGCCTATTGCTTAAGCTAATTTTGCTGGAATTTCAGCATCAGGAAGATTGTTCATGATGGGGGTGAATGATTACGGACAGCTGGGACTGGGACATACCAAAACAATGACTAAACCCAGCTGTGTCAAAGGTAAGCTTTTTCTTCAAAGGGGTTGGCTCCAAACCCTTATTGCTCATTTTTTCCTGCATTATTCATCATCCTTTTTATTTTTATTTTCAGTCTTGAAACCCATGAAAGTGAAAACAGCTACATGTGGAAGAGCTCACACTCTGATTGCTACAGGTAGGGACAAGATGCTCTTCAATTAGATCTAAAATAAAGTCTGAAAATCATAAACTTCCTGCATTTTGTGATATTTAGGTTCCGAATTTCTATGTAATGACATTTTTCCTGCACCTCAAAATGGAATTGAAATGCTGTCATTTGGGTATTAGTACTGCATTGATATCCTGGTTAAAAATTCTGTCATGTTTAAAAATACCTATTCTTTGGGTTTTTCCATGGTGTATTGTATGTGACTGAAAATCAACTCTGCATCCCTTGAAACTTAAATTTTTACCCATATATTGAGGAATGGAGTGTTTTGAAAATTCATATGCTGAAATGCAATGGCTTTCATCTGCATACACTAAAGAGAAAGTTCTTGATCTCCATGTGACTTAACCCTTCAAGCAGTTTTCATGTACACTGTATGTTCATCACCTAGGAGGTCGGGTCAAAACTCAGCACTTGAAGGGTTAATACTTCCAGAAGCCCAGAAAGCTTGTTCTACTCTGTAGTTCAAGTCATGCAAGGTTGATTTTCATGCTTCTATCAGGTCTAGATTTACATGTGCTCTGTATAAATTCATCTTGAATTTGCCTGCACCTCAATATTCCCCTCAGGTTTTTATCAAATATCCCAAATCAAATGAGTTGAGAAGCCTATCTGAAACTTTAAATTTGTTGTTTAGGAGAATGTTGAATCTTGGGAGATAATTGTGTCCATTGAAGTGGAGTGTTGTATCTCAAAACTACCTTTTTGTTCAATTTAACAATATTGAACAGAATTTGTCAAGCATGTAGCCATCCCCTACAGAAACTATCTGCTTTGATTTTTTACAGTAATTAAATGTAAAAATAATATTCCAATAAAAATAATGTGAAATATATCATTTGTATCAACACTATAAGATTCTGCTTCAAAAATATTCCATATGGTCATGTTTATTTGAAATTATTTTTATAAACATATTTGCTTGCATAGTTTCATTCTTCCTCATGCATAAAAACTATACCCTATTGATTTTGCTTTTTTCAGAGTGTGGGAAGGTTTTTGGCTTTGGATACAATGCAGAATCTCAGCTGGGGCTGGGTGACACAAGTATTCATTTGGAACCCATGGAATTGTCTCTCCCCTTCAAATCGGATCAACTAGGTTGTGGGATAAAAAAATTAGCAAGTGGAGCTGATCACTCCATGCTCCTCAATGGTTGTCCTTCCTCCTGTTTCTTATAAAATATCAGAAAGTTTAATTTATATGTAAAAAAATATATATGCACTTTTTTTTTCCAGAGTTGGGAGATGTGTACGTATGGGGGGGGAATTCAGAGGGTCAGCTGGGAATGAGTTCAGTATCAGATGTAAAAACTCCTCGTCTCCTGGAAAGGGCAGTTAAGGACATTGCATGTGGCTACTATCATTCTGCTCTGGTCACAAGTGAGATAACAACATGAACTCTCCTTTTCCCATTCTTCATCAACCTACCAATAAGTCTTTTTCCATAAAAAAAAATTTCTCATGCAGAGGATGGCAAACTCCTGACATTTGGAGAAGCTGAGGCTGGAAAGTTGGGATTCCCTATGGACTTTGGAAGGAATTTCCGTGTTCCTCAGGAAGTTTCTATCCAAGAATCGCTACATTCTGTCGCATGTGGAGGAGGGCACACACTTGCTCTTTCTGGTAGGATAAGGTTGCCTGTTTTTTTGCCTGATGTACGTTAAAATATTGTGGTTCTGATTGGTGCCAGTATTGTGAGAACTGGAGGTGATGAAATGGTAACTCCTAACTCAGAAAATTTTGATATTTATTTCATATTGCTAGTATTTATTGAGCCATTTACAAATATTTTCCCTATTTCTTCATTTATTTCATTCTTCCTGCTAATGGTTTTCTTGCCATTGTGCTATCTAATGTCTGTGACTGGCTGTCTATTTATCCCAGTAGAGTAAGTACTGTTGAGGATGGTATTTTAGGCATTGTTTGCATATTTGCCTGCAGCAGGGATGCACAATCTTTTTTGTTAAGGGGCCACACTATACTTAATGGCAGTTGCCTGGGCCACAGAGACTTGTAAAACCTTGAGGGTTGGTGAAGAAGGATTGTGACTTGATCTGTCACTGTGATAAGAGTGCCCACTGACTGGTTGAGTGAGGGTCACAAATTTTGCCACTACTAGCTGCAGGTTATGCATCCCTGGCCTACAGAGTCCTGGTGTAGAAATTCATTTCTCTTCAGCATCCCCTGCCCCTTCATTTCTTTTCCTATTCACAGTTGGACAGAGTTCATTATTTTTTCAGTTGGCAGTATAGCTAGAAGATTCTGTTCAAAGTGCTGTTGATCAATGGTTTTGTTCACTAGTCTGCTGTGTTAATCTCCAATTATGACTCTTGAATGCCAAATCAAAGAACTATCAAGATGTATATGAAATCCAGAAATGACAAAGCAACTTTGACCCCCATTGCATAGATGAAGGGCGAGTATATGCATTTGGAGAAGGAGTGTCTGGTCAGCTGGGTTTGGGGAATGGCTGTGTCCAAACCTATCTTCCTACCATCATAACTGGACTTGGGAATCAACAGATCGTTCACATAGATGCTGGAGAAAGTCATTCCTCAGCCATCTCTGGTAGGCTTTGAGAGTTTCTCTTCTTGAAAAAAAAAAAACAGAGGTTTCTCATCAAGAAAGTGGCTTTCTTTGTGGTGTTTGCACAATGTAGACTGCGGAACATTATATACCTGGGGAGATAGGAAGCATGGAAAACTGTGCCATATGGATCAAGAAAATGATTCTTTTTTTCTCCCAGTTCGTGTGCCACGATTCAAGAATCTCTTTGTCTCCCAGGTAGGTTTAATGCTCTTGCGTTTGGTTGATTGATGAGTTTGTAGGGATACATGGATGGATTTTCAATCAGATTTCCTGTGGAGGGTGTCACACGATGGTGTTAGCACGGAGACGAATCCCTGAGGATGAAGCCAAGCTGCGGGAACAACAGTTCACTCAAATAGAATCCACTGCATCCATTAATGGCCATTCTGAGGATCGTCGGCCCCCTGTTCTTCCTCCAGCAGCAAAATCAAAACTCAAGATAAGGGGACAAGATGTGAGCTATTTTTTGCTGACCTGGTTTCCAACAGGGAAGATGTTACCTAGGGTCCTCTGTTTATTTACCACTTCCATTACTAGCCAATGACTAAAATATGTTGCCCCAATAACTGAAAATTATAATGCAGACACATATGGGTGAGGTATGAGTGTGTTTGTTTTAGGCAAAATTTGTCACAAACAGACAAATGAAGAAAACTTAAATTTCCTTTTTTTTTCATGTACATACAAGGGGTTAGATATCTCTTGCCTTCTCTCCTATCAGCCATCATGCCACTGACACCACCTGAATGTATTTTCACCCACTATTCAAGTTTAACCTTGAAAATGCAACTCACTGCCAGACTGGGCTTCTTTCTTCCCCATGAATCATCTTGTCTATACTAAGATGAAGGTAATTTATTAAGGATACTTTTATCTCACCTCAGGTGGCCTTGGTGGCACCAACACACCTCCCACCAATCGTTCGTCCTTTGCGGGCTCATCCTGCTGACAAGGCTCAAGCCATTGATGGGAATGATCAACCTCTACAGGTCAAGGAAGATGAAAAGAGTGAAGACAGAGACCCTCAGATCAAGCTTTCTCTCACTGCTCAATTCAATGTAGAGACAGGGAGTGATGCCAGGTCCCCAGGAACATTGATACAAAACACTGAAGTAGGTGACCCATGCTGTGATTCTCAAATATGTGAAGAACGAAGGAAAGGAAATGAAGGGAAAAAAAGAGATCTGGAATGGGATCAAGGAATTGAGAAGGTTGAAGAAATCAAGGCTGATACAATACAGCCTCAAAATGATGGCATTTCTGTTGTGAAGCAGAGACGACAAAGTAAGTATTTAAATGACAAAGTAAGTTTGCCTCTCTAACCATTCACTATAACTTTTTTTTGCTGAACAGATTCTCGAATCAGTCAGATGATGACTGGATTCCTGAGGAAGAGCTTCCACTCACGTTCACAAGATGGAGGAATTGAGGTTCCTCGACCAAAGGACAAAGTTGGAGTATCTCCTTACACTGCCACTCCTGGTTTGACCTAAACTTTCTGCATGCATTGACTGGCTGAGTCTGGTTTGGTATCTCCACCAATATGTATTGTTCTGTTTTCAATACAACAGGTACAAAAGAATTAAGGACAGGAGGTACAGAAATTTCCAGCACTCCTATCAGCAGAGTGAGTTTTATCTTTTCAGATTATTTCACTTTATTCTAAAGTTCACATGAGTTCATACACCAACATGGTTGCACCATTTCTACTTCACTCTGATGTGAATTAGGTAAACAGCAAGGAAATGCATGCAACACCAGAGTGAAGTAGAAATGGTGCAACCATTTCACTCTGGTGTTGCATGCATTTCCTTGCTGTTTACCTATTTCATATCAGACTATTAGCATTTTGTACATTCCAAATATAAATGTGCACCATTGCTACCAAATAAATTTTTTGAAATGGTGCAAATGCTTTTCATACAATCCTGTAGATAAACCTGTGGATATGGGTCCTACAATATAGGAACATGCTGTACCTGCAGAGAAGTAGCATTGATAAAAGAGAAGTAGAAACAGTTGGATGGCAAGATTTGCAAAAAAAACTTGAAAATATAAATAGCCTATTCACCCTTTAAATCAGTGATGAGCAACCTGCAGGACTTTGCCAACATAATTTTTTTTCCTGCTATCCAGAGTAGAGTTAGAGTGCACATGCACTCAAGGATTTTGTTGCCCACTGCAGGAGAAACGGAAGCAAGAAATAAAAGCTCTATTTCCACCACAGCTGCAAATATCCCTTCACTCTCTTCTTCTTGGTCAGAGTATCACTGCTCTCTGAGCAAGTGAATAGCTTGGTATTTTGTGACCCATGAAAAAAATCCCTTCACAGCTAAGGTAGTGATGGATATCAGTGTATCAGTTTTGTGTGGATACTTTGGGAGGTTTCATCTTTTGGTTTCCTATTTTTTTTTTTTTTTTATTTCATGCCACTTTTAGGAATATCATATTCTGAACCTCAGGCATGGCTTCAGAAAAAAAGGTGCAAAGTAGGAGATGAATGCTGCAATTTCAGCTATAGGTGGACATCAGAGTATTTCTTTGCAGGCATTAAATGAGCAGCAGTATGCTTAATTTGCAATGAATCTGTGGCTGTTCTTAAAGAACATATTAAAAGACATTATGAAACAAGGCATGCCTCAAAATACGACACCCGCCAGGGCCAGATGGGGAAAGACAAGGTGCACGAGTTTGAAAAATATCTGACAGGCCAACAAAATCTCTTCGAGAAAGCCACTACTGAGGCTGACATTTCAGTACATGCTGGTTACTTGATCTCCAAAATACTGACAAAACACATGAAGGCCTGTAATGAGGGTGAGATGGTGAAGGAATGCCTTCAAGCTGTGGCTGACATAGCATTTCCTGAGAAGAAAGCTATTATTTCAAAAATGCACCTGTCAAGGTTTACTATGGGCAGGAGGGCTGATGATATGCCAAAGAACATTGAAGACACCCTGAAATACAGGGTTGCAACTTTCAAGTGGTTTTCTGTGCTACTGGATTAGAGCACTGATATGTCTGATGCAGCTCAACTGGTTGTTTTCGTTCAAGGCATTAATGCTGAATTTAACATAACCAAGGAGCTAGTAAGTATGGTGACAATGATGGGCACAACAACTAGTGCAGATTTGTATGAAGAGCTGAAGAAAGCACTGGATGATTCGGGCTGTCAATGGAAAGATTGAATGGGATTGCTACAGGAGGAATTTGGTGGTCATGACTGGATGTGCGATTTTGCTTATTTGATCGACATTACCCAGCTCCTCAATGAACTCAACCTGAGACTCCAAGGAAAGGATCAGCTCATTCACACAATGTTTGATCAAATCAAGGCATTTGAATCAAAGTTTTCCCTGTGGGAATCACAACTTTACTTCAATAACATTGAGGAAGGAGAATCCAGATGCTTCTGTGAAATACGTTGAGGAGATTCAGCACCTGAAAAGTGAATTTTAGTCTTGTTTTTGAGATTTAAGAAGATGTGAGGATGCCTTCAATATCTTTTCCATTCCTTTCAATGTCAGTGCTGATACTGCACCTCCAGAGCTTCAAATGGAGCTTATTGGTCTTCAGTGCAGTGCTGAGCAAAAAGCGAAATTCCGTGATGTGCCACTCCTTGACTTTTATAAGCTCTACCTGCCAGCAAGGAGTTTTCCAGGACTGTCACACCATGCTTTGAAGATAGCAAGCTTGTTCAGCAGCACCTACATATGTGAACTATTATTTTGAAATTGAATGTGCTGAGAAGCAAGCATCAAAATCGGCTGGGCGTTGAATCCCTGGAAAGTTCCCTGCACATCACAACCTCTCAAATTAAGCTGGACAAAGAAAAATTTTTGAAAGAAAAAGATTGCCAAGTGTCTCATTAAATATGATACTCATGATCCTTGTGGACATTCAGACTAAAAATTTGCTCAGTAAAAAGGTGAGAAATTTTTTTCAACTAATTATTTGCATATCATAAGCATCTACTATTTTAGTACCTAGTTTATTAAGCCAGGCTTTGGATTATGTTGGTACTCAGCAGGTAATTCAGCCTGTAATTCAGTAATAAATAATAAATAAATAAATAAATGTAAAATATGTGCAGCCCACTGGGAACCTAAAAAGTTCACTTGCTGCCTGCAGTCAAAAAAGGTTGCTCATCACTGCTTTTAATGAAAGAATTGCCCAGTTATAGCACCAGACCTGCCAATGTGTCAAATTTAATCCCTCAGCTTGTAATAGTTTCCAAGATTTTTTGGGGCAAAATTCCATCCATCAAAAGGGCAAAACCAAATTCCCCTTTGTTAGACATGTTATGGGAAGTATTTGTAAAAAAGACAGAAATGGATATGGAATTCCAGCAATGATACTGCTTTGATGAATGTAATGTCTTGGGCATATCAATGTGATCACACCTGGTCCAATTTCCTGGGCTGATTTCATTTACTAGTTTTTCACTGATGCATTCATTCATGCATTATGATATCCAATAAATGCACACCAATTTAATGAGTCCTTCTTTTTCCTTGCTTTGCAGTCAAAAGCCTGCAATCTCCTCTGACATGAAGGACACATGCAGTTCTTGAAACTTCAACTGTTCCATCCAGTTTCAGATTGAATGTGCTGGTACCACTCCCACATCTAGTCCTGTGGAAGCTTTCCACAAACACTGGGCATATGATTGTATGTTCTCAATTTTTATTGTGTGGCATAGATTGTGGTGGATTGATCAGGAAGTTTGGAGATGTTTCATCATCTCATTACTGATCACCAGTCAACAGAATCAGTGAAATTGGGCTATAGCTCAAATACTGAAGCCTCCTTTAGTTAACCCTTGGAAGTCCAAGAGGTTTGAAGTGGTGGGTAAAGTGAAGGGGCTGTGAGTTGAAGCATCCTTGGACTACCAAGGGTTAGTGGTCCTTTAAGAATCCATGGACTCCTGTGGGGGAAAAGAGCTCATTAGCTTAAAAGCCCCTCTCTCCCATAAATGAGGTTTCAGCATTTGGACCTTCATATTTTTGCATGCATTCACATGCCACACCAGATCAGGGAACTTTTTTATTTATTGTCTTGTATCCTGTGGCTTGGTGTAACTAGGCATACAAGAGATGTTTTGACAGTATTTGGGCAACAGATTGATTGTTGTCATGCAATATTGGCATTTTTTCTGTGATTTCATGACTTTATGTCCGTCCATTTGCTGTTCTCCATTTGGTCTCGGGGATTTGATCTCATGAATCTAGTCATTGATGGAAATAAAGATTCAATCCAACCATACTGCCACTCTGCCTATCTGTATAGTTTTCTTTTTTTTTTAGGGTGAGTTTGAAGGTAACAATGGGATATTTACAATACTAGTCCCTCATTCAACATGTACATGAAACACAGTTTTCTCATTTTCTGTAACCTATATAACATGCTCTTTGTATGACATATTTTGAGAGTCTCCACTTTTGGCAAAAAAATGTGTATACTCCCATTGCACTTAAATAGTAGCAAAAAAGGATTGGAAATATAAATATTTAAATATTCAGCTGCCATTTTATTTTACCTCCCAACTCAGCCAGAAAAGTTTACATTTGATGCTTGTTTTTATGTCAAAATTTTCATTATTACAATGATACGAGTACTTGGGTCCCATCTCATCATCTGTTGAGTGCAGTGTTACTCTTGCCTGATGGAAAGTCAATCATGGGATATCCATGTGGCACAAGTACAGGGTGTTTGTATTTAAACGCAACATAGGGAAACATTTTGCTACCTAATTTTGGAGTTCCACACGTGCCTTACAGCTCACCGGGTTCTATGTTTGTAAGGATAAAAACAATCACTGCTGTGTTTCCTTGCTGGTATGCAACTCTGTGGGCCTTGTAGCATTAGCCAAACTCCTCATACAGGTGGCAAAATATTTCCTGTTACATTTAAATACAAACACCCTGTATATTCAAAAGATTTCGCAGAGATAACTTCTAGGAACACTTTAGAGACATTTTTAACCCTCAGGTGATGGAAATATATTCTAACAAAAAAATATGACACAAAAAAACACATATTGAGGTAGAAATTGACCCCTTTCTGTTATCTGAGAGTTAACCCTTTAACTGCTATAATTGAATTAATTTGGTTGCAAAGGTTTCTCACTCCTTGTGATGGTCAAATAAACTCATTTGATTAATTCTGGCTCTCAATGATATCCATCTACAGGGTGGCCCATAAGTCCCAATCAGTTATAATTAAAGCAAAGTCAGAAAAAAATCAAAATAAATATAAATTTGTAATAAGTTTAGAGTTATGTATTGATTATTCAAAGTACAAAATAGAACAATCTCGACAAATATTCTTTCCATGGTAATTGATAACATCAGTGTGAGCTCCATCATGCGTATGCATTATCATAACCGATAGGGACTTATGGGCCACCCTGTAGTTTGCTTGAGCTGCCTTGTACTAAAAGGGAGGTGATATGCCATCTATTGACCAACATATGGAAATGTATAGTTTGGAA